CCATACTCAGCACATCTTCATCAGCTGCACATATTTATTCTGTAAATAATTCAAGTGTGGACATTAAGTCGGGGCATCTCTGACACGATCATTAGGTCTATCCTCATAATTAGTCACAGAGCAGACAGAGTTTCCCACGAAAAAAAGGGACATTAACATGTACAAACTGAGTAAGTAGGATTCAAACCAACTTAAAGCAGTGCCTGTAATTCCAAACAAATGCTCCAGTCTGTACAACAGGATCCGATGGTCAATGGTGTCAAAAGCAGCACTAAGATCTAACAAGACGAGCACAGAGAGAAGTCCCCTGTCTGAAGCTAGAAGTAGATCGTTTGTAACTTTAACTAGTGCAGTCTCAGTGCTATGGTGGACTCTAAATCCTGACTGAAACTCCTCAAATAAACTGTTGTCATGGAGAAAGTCACACAGCTGTTTAGCTACCACCTTCTCCAGGATCTTCGAGATAAAAGGAAGGTTGGATATAGGCCTGTAGTTAGCTCGAGTTCCTGAGTTCAGAGTAGGCTTTTTAAGTAGAGGTTTGATTACCGCTACTTTAAATGCCTGGGGTACATAGCCTGCCAGTACAGACGAATTGATCATATCTAATATAGAGTTGCTAACTAAGGGAAAGACTTCCTTAAACAGCTTGGTTGGGATTGGGTCCAAAAGACAGGTTGACAAAAATGGAATATAGCTCTGAAAGGTTGATTGGAGAAAAACAGTCGAGACTAATATCTGGTCCTGGAACTGTCTCTGCCGTATCAGACGTATCTGCACCAGGTAAGGGCAGGAGGTTACCAATTTTGTCTCTGATGTCTAAAACTTTGTTGTTGAAAAAACTCAGGAAGTCATTACTGCTGAGGGCTAGAGGAATACAAGGCTCAATGGAGCCATGACTCTCTGTCAGCCTGGCTACAGTGCTGAAAAGGTATCTAGGATTGCCTTTGTTTTCCTCAATTAGAGAGGAATAGAAGGCAGCTCGGGCGTGACGTAGAGCCTTCATATATCTTCTATGACTATCCTGCCAGAAAAAATGAGATTCTACCGTTTTGGTCGAGCGCCATATTCTTTCAAAATTCTGCGATGATTGTTTTAGAGTACGGGTTTCTGAGTTGAACCATGGAGCCACTCTCCGCCGCTTGACAACCTTCTGTTTCAGGGGAGCAATCGAATCCAGAGTAACTCTCAGCGAATCCACTGCACTATCAACAAACTGATCTAGCTGAGAGGGACTAAAGCTATCATAAGAGTTTCCAACTGGGTTGAAACACAGTACTGAATCAAAAACAGCTGAAATAGCTTCCTTAAATCTAGCATGGTGAATGATTATGTGAAAATAAATACTAACAGGCACAACCCGTACAGCAGGCTTAGATTTAAACTGAACAGAGATTACAGTCCCCTGCTGACATCCTGCTGAACTACAAAACTAATGTAGTTCAGCTTCCTGGGCGCTAACACGCCCTCGGTGTCAGCTGTTTTTAGTCACTGCACTCAAACGCTATCAGTCAAAAGACGTTCAACTTTGAGAACAGCGCCACGCTGATCAATGTCACTTCTCCCTCACTGACCAATCAAACTCAAGAAGGGGCGTGACTTCTGATATCAGATTTGTCAATAACAAAGCGATGGCAGAGGAGACGCTGGTCTGACTCGTCTTTTGGAGGGAACAGTTTGCAGGTGTAGAGCTGCTGCTGACATCAGGACATGACTCCTTTACATCGTCCTCATGTTTTCTTGGTGATATTTATTTGATTTAAAGAAAATATGAAACACATGGAGCTAAAACACACCTTACGGACATTACAGAGGGAAGCACAAGTTAACTTTTGTAATCTAGCAACAAGGAGCGCTGGTGAGAAGCGCTCTGAAACAAAGGTTGTGAACACGATATAACACACATTCTATTTTCCAACAAGTTCTTCACACTAAAAGTTCCAGGTTTAAATAGCATTGCTTTTATTGTGAAGCAGCTACATTAGAAAATGGGATATTTTTCAACAGAAGCAAATGACTGTAACTCAGACGTTTAAAATACAAACGCAGAGGAAAGGAACCTGACAGATTCAGTTAGAAGCTACAACGTCCTGAGAAGAAAACACACAGTGACTTAAAAATATCTTTTTAAATGAAACTCAGTTTCCAGCAGAAACCTTTATGACTGTGATGACTCTCCTCATATAAGCTCATATTCTTTTAAAACAATATATCCATTATCTTACCTCTCAGTCGAGGTTTCATTTCAGCTTCATCAGCCTTTGAGGACATAGCCCAAAAATAATGAACTAAAACAAACTTTTTTTCTGTTTATGAGTGAGACAAACAGCATGTCAGTATTTTATTTAATAGTTGATCGTCTATTTCTTGAATACTATAAGCCTTGTTTATTATGTTACACGTCATTACATTGTGCTGCCAGTTAAAATAAAGTGGCAGGTAAGAAATGTGAGACTGGTACCCGCCAAGCACCTAATGCAGGTAGATTTTCCGTTTGGCAAGTTAATTTCCAGATATTTCCACATATCTTTGCAGGATTGAGAATGAGATGCTTTCTAACATGTTTGTTCATGAAGATCAGTATATAGCTGTTTTCCTCTTCCACAATGTTATTGTGTTAAATGTGGATGGGAACACATTTTTTGATAACACAGTCACTCTAGCAGACGTTTGTGTTGCCGCATCCACTCTGGATGCATGTACAGTATCTATTGCAGTTGACCTTTAACCTTAACTAGTCACATGTGGGTGGTTCATACTGTAGTTGGCTCTCTATTGGGTTAAAGTTGCAAACTAGTCCCCGGTTGGAAGTAATGCACAGTGGTCTTGGCTGGTGAAATGGAATCTACCACCTGCTGCGCGTACTCAGAAAGAAAAGACAGTAAGTACTTTGCATATTTGATCAATTAAAACAAGTACTAATCTTTCTAATGATTCAAAAAAATGTCTGCCATTTTTAACCATGCAATAGAACATTCCATATGCTAGGCTTTAATTACATCTGACACTGTCTGAGTATTATTATGATTAAAGGATCTTTCTTGGACTCTGTGTCAGTCAGTGTAGAGTATACAAACAGCTCGTTATAAATGACATCATCTTTAGCATTAACAGCTGTGTTTGGGGTATGCAGATTCACATGTCTCAGTTTACAGACATGTTGTGTATCATGAAAAGCGGTAGATTTGTTGTTTGAATGTCATTTGGATGAGCTTGATCGTAAAGTCAATATCTATTGGTCTTAGATTTCTTTCTGTCCTTTGTTTATTTTGCAAGGCTATTGAGCACACATGAAAACACAGATAAATGTAGTCTTTATCCCACAATGGATCACACCGAAGTGATATCAATTAAATAACCATGGAGTTCAGTTTGTTGCTTGGCAAAGCTACCTTCTATGGGATAGTGATTATCAGTTCATGCTGCTAAAAAAGTCAAATAGAGTTCTACTTTATGAAACTTAATTCGCTCTAAGATCTACTCTCTTAGAACAATTTATTGACAGATTTATCTGCTTAAAGTTAGAAATGTGGTATGGGTTTTATCACGTTTTCATGGTTAGTTCTTTTTCCTATTTCATTTTTTGAATTTATGAAAATTGGTACTAACACAGACATTCATATTTTGTTTTACGGTCTTTTCCGTGTAATTATACTCAACGCTATTACTCAAATGTCTTCACACCACACCACAGGTTTGAGTGACTGCTGTGCTTATTGCTGCCTCTCCTCACCAGTCGCCATGTAAAAGTAATGGGTGAATGTTTCTTTGGTATAGTGTTGTGGATTTTTCTGTTGGTAATGAAAGATCTCAAGTCAAAGTCTTTTGTCTTTGAGTATTTTATTGCATATAATAAAAAGTTCTTTTGCAAAAGGGGGTAATCAGCTACAAAAGTAACATCAGTCAGAAGTGCATCAAAGATTCACGGGGCAGTCCCGGCTGCAGAGCATATTTATACTTTCACAGGGTGTAGGTATTTTGCATATACATGAGTGATACATCGTCATTGGTTTCAGCTTGCCTGATGATTTATCTAACACCAACAGAAAGGCCTTTGTTCAGAGGGAACTGATTTAGGGTCATGCTGTACTCAGATCCTGAGGAGCGTTCCTGCTGGAGATACAGACCAAGGCCATACAGAGAAACAGTTTGTAATTGCTAAATGACGCACGAACATCCTAATCTTTTAAGGTCAACCGAAGACAACAGACAGATAGTATTTTTCCACTACAATTGTGAAGACCATTGGTTCCCAAAGTGGGGGTCGCATGCCACCAAGAGGGGGGTCGCGAGATGCCTTCCATAAAAAATAAAAAATCATTTAAAAGTGCATAAGTATATATTTTTACCCATTTTTGTAAATATACAAAAAGTATACCTGAGGAGCTCTCTTAAGGGCTAAGACAATTTGTGAATAACTTTCATTTTTACAACGATCTAGTCTTAACTTTTATGAAAATTCATAGAAAATCTCACGATTCTAAGAATTTTCTTAGAATTTTCTCACTAGGAGCAACTCTTAGTTACTCTTACTTAGGAGGCTTTGTGAATATGGCCTCTGGTTTACACAGGTGTAGCTTAGTGCTTTTTTTTTTGCAGTCTATGGTCTGTCCGTGTGCGTCTATATATGTGCATCTGTGTGTTTGTGTTCTGTGAGAACATGATAGTGTGATCAACTGCCCCATCACATAACCAGGGTTTGTGTGAGTGTGTGTCTGTGTGTGGGTACATCTTCAGCAAAGCCAAATTGGGTGATCTATTGCTCCATAGCACCTCTGGGAAACTCTTTCACTCTGACACGGACAGCAAAAGCTTAACATTTTCATAAAACACCAATTACTCATTGACGGTAGGAAGGGAACCATCCATGTTATTTTAAGGCAATGACATGAAAAGAAGTCCAAATTTAAATTTAAATTTAAAAACTTTTGTAAGTGGTAACATAAAGGTTAACTACAGAGAACATTTATGAGTCTGTGGGAAACTAAAGAACCAAGACATAATAAAGCCAACATATTTTTATTAATCATTTATTTCTTTACAATGAGAGATGACAATGAAGAGAAAACTCATTATAAAAAGTAATTACAGTATATTGTTGACATGATTCATTAGTATTAATGGTGTTTATACATTGGTTACTGTCCTTGGTATTTAGCTGCAATATGCTGCTCATTAATCTGAGTCATATAAATGAGTGGTGATTGTGTTGCTGGGAAACACAAGAACTATTAAAACAATTAATTTGCACATCTATATATTTATACTGCCTGTGTATAAATAATACAATCATTTGTTTACAACAATTCTCCAAAAACCTCAAGTAAAAATGAGTCATCTCAGAGTTCTTCTGCCCTTGAGTGTGTACAGACACACAGTGCAATTTTTGCAATATTACAAGTTTATTGCAAGCCACACTGTGCAACACGGATCTCATTATCTTTGGTACCACATGTATGTACACTGTGCGAGGAGATACAAGTGAATCATAGGCTGGAGATGTGTGGCTGAGGTTGCCATGGAAGTCAGCTGAAAGCACTCATACTGTAGTTTCAGGCAGTATTTCTATTAGACTATATAGACCAGTACTTCTCAAAGTGTGAGGCACACGAGTGGCCTGGGGATACTTGTAGTGTTTCTCACTAAGCCTGCCCTCCAGATATATTAATGATCGTCATTAAAGACAAAGAAACTAGAAGGTGATTGGTCTTTCTCACTCTGTACCCCTCACATGTCAAGGTGACCAGAGAGAGAAAAAAAAAGTTAACTGCTGTTAAATCTCTTTGAATTAATTTGCTGCAATGCAATGTCTCGTCTTTTATACAAAACTTCAAATTGTCTTTTTTTGTTCAGCTTCTTGCTGCCAAAGTATTTCTACTCTCTCTTGGTTTTGCTGCGTCTTGTTGCAATAACTGAGTCCAAGTGAAACTTTTCAAAATGGGAGTTTAGTTTGTTTTGCACGAGACCCCAAAGACTCAGTTAAGACAGAAAAAAAAGTAAAATTGAAAACTGTACCCACAGTAAATAATGATGTTCTGTGGGCATGGATTACCAAACTGTTTCTGTACGCTTTCAGTTTACAAACGCGCTCTCTGAGGTCTGAAAGTTGGCAATTATTTCCGTGCAGCACTCTTGTGTGCGCGTTCAGTAGGAGTGCAGGAATGTCTTCACTGCATGACCATGTACTCTATCACAGAAATTAATTACATTCTGGATTATTTTTTAACAATTTCATATTGTCTGCCATTTTTACAAGTGCATTACAAGACAAAATAATGTCATAGTACATTATATTTCAGCTATTCATAGGTTACTTATATAAAGCTACAGCTTCAGAAATTCTGCAGAGCTAGAATAGTGCAGAAACATTTGTTTTGATCAACTTTGAATAACAAGGTTGAGGAGAGTAGTGATCCTGATTTATATACTAGTGAGCCTAAAATGATATATCTCCAGGGAGAGGATGTGAATTTAAGCAGGCTGGGCTGAAAATCGGCCCTGGGTACAAAGATCCAAAAACTCTCTCCAATGTGTGTGACATGTCACTCTCTTCCTACTTTAAAACCTATAAATAGAATCACATTGAAGTTTCTCACCTTTGTATTTTCTAATCAGATCCACAGTATGTAAACATTTCAAACTGGTACACTTAAATTGACCCATCGAGGCTTTTTCTCCTTTTTAACTCCACCTGAGAAACGAAATAAATTGTGAACACAAACGGAGACAAGCATGTAGCATTTCTTCTTTTAAGTTGAATTAGTGAAATAGTGCTTCTTTTAAATTAGTGATATTGGTCATCTATCAATGAGCTGACTTGAACAAAATCATGATAATTCTTGAGCTTTTATAAAATGTGTTGTGGCTATCATTTAGACAAACACCCTCCTTTGACAGAAAGAGAGCAACATAGTTATCACACTACAATTCTCTTTTTTCAAACTTGTTATTTTTTTGCGTGACTTCCAGTCCATATTCTTAAACTATAACTGAACCTGAACTAACTTTCTTATCACCCATTCATCCCTCAGTCCCAGAGGGGCTATAAGGTCATTTACATGTGTTCTGGTCTCTAAATGCAGCACTAAACTGCAGTCAGGCATTTATCCTCTGTGTATTCATCTCACACTACAAGGTGAGTCATTGTTATCTTATGGAACATGAAGTTCACCTAATAGACAACCAACCACTCTGAATGCCAGTTTTAAATATCTGACAGACTCACTTCAGCAGCTTGATGAGGAATTCACTGGCGAACACTCCAACAATCAGGATGACCACCATGAGAAGCAATACCAAACCACGGCGTAAAACGAGTTGTGTTATAGACAGGACATCTCCAACTGTAGTGGTAATGGACTTTTTCTGCTCTGGATTATGCACCTCGGCGTCCTTGTTGTCCACCTCAGCATTCTCATAGATGGATTCAGTCGTACTGACCTCAGCCTGGTTGTGATTGGAGTCTGAGGGTTTGATGGAGAATCTCGAGTCATGACAAAACACTGTTACACACATTTAATGTTCAGTTTGTGCGTCAGAACTCACCTGTACTTTCAATCCCAGTCATCTCTTTTTCTTCGTTGACCTGCACACCTGCTCTCACAAGAGCCTGGTCACATCAATTTAGGAAGATTCATTTTGAAAAGGCATGTTGAGACAAAATTAGAAGGATCATTTCTATTGGTCATAGGGCTGTTGGTACTCACCTCTTCAGCAGCCTTCTTCCAATCCAGTTTGCAAACTAATATGACGAAGAAGAGGGACTGCATGAACACGCAAACGACAAATCCCGTCCAAAGACCTACACAAAAATAGAAGAAAAATTCTCAGATTCTTTTTGAATATAAATTGTGAAGCAGGAGACAAGACAACACACAGCAGTAAATCACCTGGACAGTATTTACTCTTACCTATAATGCCCATTTTTGCTGCAAACATGAGCGACACACCGATAGGAAACCCGATGAAGTAGTATCCCACCAGGTTACACAGAGCACCGATTAGCTGTTTCCCTACACCACGGAGAACACCTCCAGTCACACCCTGAAATCAAACTGAGATCGGCTCAGGGGTCTGTTCACATTCTGCACATCTCTGTAAAATGTATGATATCATGATGACTTAAACACTACGTCCTCACCGCTACTGCATCAAAAACATGCATGAAACAAAACAGGATCATGACGTCAGCGACCCTCTGTATGATGTCTCTGAAAAGATATGCAGACAGAGATTAGGGGAGTGTTGTGGTACTTGAATCAAAAGCATTTTACTCGGTCTTTATCCAGATTTTAAATCAGGACTGCAACACCATCACTGAAAGGCGATTCTTCCAAGTCATTACTGTGATTAGAAGAAAAACAAATAACTTCAATTAATCTGAATATCAATGATATTACTGTATACAAAAATGATCCACATGATCAATAAATACAATCAACTGATAAGAAAACTGAGTGTTATCAAAACTTTTCCACTGGTAGAAAATAAGAAACACATAATTTGACAAAATAATTTGATAACTTTTGTCAAATTAAGCAATTCATCTTCGATAAAAAGATTGACGTACTTGTGACTTCAAATTGGGAAAAGCTTTAATAACCTTATGTGATGACTCGCATAGATTATGTTTGTGTATGTTTACTAATGTGGAACAAACTTGTGAATATATATTGTTTGGCAGACCTCGTGGCCTTGGAACCATTGAACTCACGTTAATATATAAAAGTCTGAAGAGCAATGCTAAACCGAGCCTGTTATGTCACGTTGACTGCCAACGAGCGCCGGTTAAACAACAGAATAAATCAGTCAGTGAGAGGAAGTGAAGGATCTCGTGTCAAAGAGTTGACTCACTGCTCTGATGTGAAAATGTATCCGATGACATTTCTGGTGATGCTGAGACCAGCTCCAATGAAACAAGCGATTATGACTGCCGTGGTAACATAGAAGGAAACAAAATAAAATACAGAGTATTCATGAATTGACAATGTACCAAAAGTAAGTTTTACATTAGATTAGATTAGAAATCAGATTATTAATCCCAGTGAGGAAAGTCATTTTCCACCTGGTCAATTCATAAACACAATAAACAATATTGACAGTACAATCACGATACACAACAAGTAAATAAATAACAAACACCACTGAAACCATTTGAGACATCATTTACAGCCATGAATCAGAGCAACAACTTCAAATGTCTATCTGCTGCTAGAACAAAGGAGCGTCTAAGTCGATCAGTGGAACTCTGTAAAGGATTGCCTTGAAAGGTCAGAACTGTTTTTAGTTTGTTTTTTTTGTTCTCTTCTCAACGGTAACCTCAAGTGAGTCTGGGTTATTGCCAATCACAGAGATAGCATTTCTGATCAGCTTATTGGACCTCATTCACCAATATCTTGCTTAAGAATTTTCATCATCTGACGGTTTCTAAGAAGACTCTCTGTCAGATTCACCAACGTGTTCTTATATGACTGAATTGTTCGCAGCTGTGTTCTTATCCCCTTGTGTTCGTAAATTGAAAACGCATGCATGTTATTCCTAATTAGCATAGGTAACTGCCCACTAATGCCAATAAAAGGGCATGAGTGAAGGGCCCTGCAGACACACAGACATGCATGCTGGAAGGGGAAAAAAAAGGTTGTGGAGATTCCTTACGGAGATGGCATCGGCGGAGCAGCGGACTCCTAACAGAGAAGAAACTTTAAAAAATACAAAATAAAATAGAAAAAAAAAAGAAACTAGATCAGCTGGGAAGTTGAGATACTAATGCAGGAAGTCAGCAGCAAACAAACGGTTTTATTCAGCAAGACAGCAAAAGAGAGCAGAATCACATCAGCTTCAGAGCAAGAGAGAGCTAGAGAGAGGGGGAGTATATAATTTTATATGCTAAAGAGCATATAAAACCAGAAAAAGGTAAATATGACCCCTTTAAGGCCCAAAGGAGGAAGGTTTAAAAAAAATCAGGGCTAACCTTGAATAAAATACAATTACAAATCAGCTGATAATCTTGCTGTAACCCGCCTTTTGGAATAATTTTAGCAGCTACACAAAGATAAATAAATAAATCTGCCAGATAAAAGCACAACAATATAGAGAGAATTTAATGATTTCTGTCTAAACAAGATACAGATCAACCTTTTGTGAGTTTATTTTCGAACAGGCAGGACTATTGTAATGTTATCTTCAAAGGTTTAAGAAAAAAAACAAGACAATCACAGACCTCTGCAGCTCGTTCAGAAGGCTGCCTGCAGAGTACTCACAAACACTAAGAGAGTGAAGCAAATTACACTTAAATCACTGCATTGACTTCATGTGTGGCAAAGGATAGGTTTTAAATTGCTACCACTTATGAATGAAACACCTCCTGGTCTTGATCTTCAGTATACAATTGATTAACTTGTATGCTTTGATGCTTCCTGACCCCTCAGGTCTTCAGGGAGAGGTTTGTTCCCAGGATCAAAACCAAGGAAAGGGAAGCAGCTTTTAGTTTGTCTTGCCCTAAACCTGAGGAGCAAGCTTCCTACATTCCTGAGGTCTGCTTAAACTACAGCCCATGTTCCTTATGCCTTACTACATTTTTAACTGCAGCTTTCAGTACACGGGATGCATTACTTCTGGAAAATTCAGACTACTCTTTTTTTTAAACATTGTGCATATGATAAGAGTGTTTGTCTTTGACAATAAATTAGTTTCAGTGAGAAGATGTTCAATGTAACGTGTGCCTTGTACATTGTTTCTTACAAGTACAGATGATGGGGACTCTGGAGGACAGCTTAGCCTGCTCTACATCTCCTGCTCCAAGTGCATTCCCAACCCGAACACTGGCAGCACCAGCGAAACCCAATGGGAACTATGGGGAAAAAAGATACATGATAACCTAAAATGAATTAAAGGTGTGGTTTCTTACCTATAGGGCCATTTAAAAAAAAAAAAGGATACACACATGTGAAGGGTAAGAATTTACAATTAATACACCATTAATGAAAGGGAAAACATTTAGAGTCTTTACCATATAGGCTATAACAGCCAGCTCATAAACTATGGACTGAGCTCCAAGCTCGGCCTCACTAATCACTCCTGCAAGAAACCCTCCCATTTCAAACATCCACCACTCAAGACACAGCATGAGCATACTGGGGATCGCCAGCTGGACAAAGGGTCCCCATTCCTGCAGACAGTCCATTGACCAACCTGTGGGTCAGAGTGGGACAGGTTATCTTTCCATTTTTTCATTTCATGTAGGAGCAGTTTGTTATTCTCACTGAGTACACTCACCATACAGAAAACAATACTGCAGGGGATTTTTTGAGATGCCGTGAAGTGTGCTTAAAATCCTAAATGATTCACTCAATGTGTAAATGGTTAAGGTGATATAGAGCCAGATTTGCTGAACTGCTGACGTATTATATAACAGCCGTGTGACATATGACAGAACCTTTTCAAAGGTTTTCCTCAGCCACCTGCGTCATTACTGTCACCTCTCCTATCCTCTCCACCACATTACACAGTTACACTGAAACTACTTTGTCAAACATTATACACGGGAATGTTGAGAGTTATTTTCACTTAAAGCCCCAATATGTCACTTTTCAACCTTAAAATATTTGCTTGTAAGTCCGTCTGACAGCGTAATCACGTTCAACAGGGAGAATGTTGCCTCTCCAACGTCCGCACAGCGACTCGCTGCCTCAATACTCCATTATGTCACTTTCTGACCGCGGCTCGCGCTCATCTCGCGAGAGGTATGTACTGCTTTGTATTTGCAATGTTCTTTAACTTATGTATCACTGATTGCACAGCTCTGGACAGCTCCCCATGTCAATACTGTCCACTCTGTTTTTGCACATTTACATCTAGCAAAGTATGTTGTATTTAATCTTTTCTTATTTAAGACTAGTAATGTTTAGTTAAATCCTGGTTGTATATATTCACATTCTTAGTTTTTATATTTTTAGTGCTTATTTACTTTGAATTTAATATTATATTGTGTTATTTATGAATATTGTCCTGATGCTGTAACACCACAGTTTCCCAGTTTGGGATCAATAAAGTAATTCTATTCTATTATATTCTATATTTACGGCACTAGTTTACAAGTCCTCGGAGTTAGCCGAGACTGTAAATATTAGGAGTAAGCCCATCTCTGTACTGCTTGATGCAGGCTAAGTAGAAAAGCACGTTGACGGATGAAGCTATGAATAAAATAAAGAATAAAGAGAGAGTGAGCGAACAAGAGACTGGACTAGCATAAATACTGGAGAGGCTTTTACACGCTGGAGAGAGCTTCAGGGAACGGTGGGCTGTAAGTCCGATACCGAGCTGGCACTGCTGCTGGTGAACTGGTGAGTACTATGCTCGTTATAAACTTTGTGTCTTATTTTTTTGCATCATAGTTATCAGTTGTTTCAACACAAACCCATTCAGTCTATGTCATATAACGACCAGAATGTCAGAATAACTTCACTGTCCCCTGATGATGAGTTAGCGACGCATGCTATCCTTATATGTCAGATTTATTTGGGCAGACTTTGACTGATGCACGGCGAGAAACGGGTGTTTGAAAGCCAAGTCAGCTCATGTCTTCAGAAGTTTAGCCTGTAGCATGATAACATAGACAGCATATTGTCCCGGGTTCAGGTTACAATAACTCCGGCTGCTAATTATCTGAGCAGCGCGTATGCAAAGTTTATAATGTTGAAACTAACGTTACTGTACATACTCTGCAGTTTTATCAACCAGCATAATGACCTCAAACTTTATTACAGCTTTCTAAAAAGGCGATCAGTATCATCTCCAGCAACAAATGCAACCTACAACCCTGTCAGAGTCTTACAGTCAGACCGCGACAGGTATGTTTTCATGGAGTAACGTTATCTAAAAAATATAGTCATTGAATGGTTAGATGTAATATTCTACTTGTCTTTTGATTCGGGGATGATGCTTGCTGTCCAAGGTGTTCAGCTACTGAATGAGGAAGAGGAGGAGGCTGATGTCTTGTAATCCAGGTAAATTTGACTTACATCTCAAACACACAAATATATATTTCGCAGATCATTTCCACGTTTTTTCAAATTGACAATGGCTGCATGATGCATCAATGCTACTTAGGACCATTACAAAATGTATTTGAAATGGCACACTGCATTTATATTTTGACTCTTTCTATCTCTCAAGCTGATTTTCAAACTGAGGACACCTTTATGTTAATACATTACAATACATTTTATTATGTATTCAAATAACTCGATACAAAAGTCTGAAAATGACTGACCTCCCCATGTGGCCTTATGCAGGCCCCTCCAGCAGATGTAAACATACAAGACCACAGCTAGCAGGTACTGAGAGATGGCATTGGCGGCTGCAGATCCACTTTTAGCACACACAAAAGAGACAGATTGGTACAATGTAGTTGTTAGCAATAAGTATGAACAGGTTGCTAAAAGTAAAAACGTATTACCATGATCATTAGATTCTAAATGAAAGGTTATTAAATCATAACAGAAATTCAGATACTTGTTTCATTGATTTTTGTCATCTAAACCGATGATTTACCTTTTGTGTTAATGAATGCTAAATGAACTATGTATGCAGATGATACTGTAGTATATGCATCAACAACAACACCTGCTGATCTGACTGCCATCGTAAACAAGGAGCTAAATATTATAGGAAAATGGATCCTGGGAAACAAGCTCATACTGAATACATTCAAAACAAAAGCATAGTATTTGTTTCAAATCATACTCTAAGGCATGAGCTTAAAGTCTGAGATAAATGACACCTATTGAGTAAGAAAAGGAAACTGAAGCTCAAACATTCTCTTAATCACAAATATCAGTTATAGATTAAATATTCCTGCCTAAATTGATTTCTGTCCCGACAGTGAGTTTTGTCCACTGTAAAAAATCAGTCACTGTTATATTTCATGAATAAATGATGAGGTCAATGGCAAAAGGAATTTAAAAAATCCAGACAGTGGAGCAAGACGTAGTTGATAATTGCGTTGAAGACATTTCCAATTGCTCCAGTTATAACCTGAGGCCATATAATTCCCTGTGGACCACAGAACAACATGGCGTCAATATAAATATCAATAACCAGGGTCTGCAGTTAGTAACTTTAAAAACAATTACTCTGTTTCGCTTTACCTGATTCTGAAGATACCTGCCTTGCAGCTGGTACATAAAAGCGGCCTGAAGAAGTAACAAAAAATTAATCAAGTTTATATAAACTAAAAAAATGTATAAACTCTTATATATATAATATCTCTTTATATATATATAAGAGACTTCATGCAGAAGACAAGAACAATATGCGTTTGAAATTATGTGCTTGTGGCATATTACTGTTTGTCATATAGAATCTCAAGTAAGAGGCTATGGGCATGACTTTATCCACTGGTTCTTGGACTTATTTGGCAGCTTATCTTATTTAATATATCAGTCAAGACAACAGTGAGCTTTCAATTTCATTAATAATAAATAACTGTGGGTGCATTTTCTGACATTATGTGCACTCAGGAAGTAGTTTATAGGTTTTACTACGATCAAACGTTGCTGGATTATATCTAATACAGATGAAAATGTGTTTTATGCCACAGACTGCTGCATAGGTGTCATGTAATTTAGTAACAGTAAACAATTCAGTATTTTGTCCAATTACTGTAAGTTATAATTGGTCAACTTTGTCAAATGAGTTATTTGAAATGTTTTACACATTGGTGTCAAAGTGTTTTTCTGTAAACGAGCTGCCCAGCAACAAAAGTACAGAAATGTTAGTGACTTGCTGAAGCAGTGGCTTTAAGACCAGAAATCCCCACAGTACATGGTAGTGACAAACAAGTGAAAAGCTATTAGTATGTATTTTCATGATTCATTCATATATCTTTGAATTGTGTCAACCATTTAGGGTATTCTTCTTTTGGGTCTGTGAGCTGTAACCTTCTATGGTGAAACATCTAAATTGAAGCAGATCTATGTTTGGATAGGAGCCAACCATATGTTGTTTGCTAGACAAAGAGTCTACATCTGTTACGTATACAAATCAGTGACATGTCATCTTTACTGTTTTTAGTGATGTACCAAATGAAAGGAATTTGTGGGCTGTACTTCTAGCAGAATATAAGCCACACTGTGTGATGAAGACTTTGCCATTTTGCCATTTTGCCCATGATGGCCACTTTGCCATGATTGTCAATGATTGTGAGATCTTGGTCAGCATGGGTCAGCGATGTCTGCACTTTGTCAGCCATGTGTGTTTGTTTCTGTGTTGTCTGACCATGGCTGAATAAATCTAAGATGATCACAGTCTGTTTCACGATTTCATAATTGTCCATCTCATACAGAAATAACCCCACCTAACAAAAGCATAGTCCTTTTGTTTTTACATTTATAATGTGGCCGGAAACACAACTAGAAATGAGTGCTAATGTTGATCAGTATCTGATTAATGTGTACATAAGCAACTATTTGCTAACAAGTTTGCTATTCATACTAAAGTTGTCAGTGGGTGACTGTAGATGCTTGTTACCCTTATTCACTTTCTATATATCCTATCCCAATCGTATAATATTGTCAATAAATAAGTTGTTTTCCAGATTCTTCATCACAGACCTGGCAACCTCTGGGCTCTGTTTGACAGCAAGTAGAAGGGGTTCAGTGTTGATGAGGATGGCCCAGCAGGGGAAACAGGCCAATAACAGAATCAGAATCCCCCTCTGGAGAATCACACCAACACGCTTCAAGTTACCGCTCCCATACGTCTGTGTGAAACATGTGGACGGACTCTTCAATAAGCACAGTTGGAAACACGCATTGCACAAAAAAACAAGAGTTTGACCGTCAAGAAAACTAACTTGATACAAAAGCTCATTGTGGAGTTGTTTTAAAAGCGAACCCAGGACAACCTGGGAACCAAGGTGGAACTGCTTTTGTCTATGTAATATGAATCAAGTGAAAGAACATCCTCTGGTGAGGAGTACCTGAGATATGAGGGTATCACAAGTTAGTGACAAGCCGGTGCAATGGAAATACCTGTGACGTTCACAACCTGCAACCAACATAACATGATTTAGGGAAAAATACAAACATCGTAGAGAGGATTTAAACCCTATAAAGGCAGCATGAGATACAAATAAAGACACAGAAAAGACTCAAAAATCTCACCGCAATTGATAATGATACTCCTGCAAGTTCGGTTTTTCCCAGGTGACCACAGAACACAGTGCTGACGAAACTGATCATAAAAACCATCAACTGGGAAATGACCTGGATACAAATAAACAAACAGTATCACAGAAAGTCTGATGTGTAAGGAATAATAAGATGCATAAAGTAAAGACTATGAGCTACGGGGGTGAAACAACCTTGATAGTGGATCATGATTGAAGTCAATATGGAAAGCTCAAACAGGCTGACTGTGAGAGAGAGCACACGCCCACTTACCATTGGTTCAAAGTGGATATAAAGTGCATGCCAGCAGGAGTATATGAGAAAAAAGTGGACATGGGAGGAACAAACCGACAGAGAAGAAAACTCCTTTGAAAGAAATAAAGAGGTCACTGTTGACCAAAAATGTTAGGACTTTATTTTATGTTTAATAGCAGTCTCTCTCCTAGCATCCTGTTTCCACTGAAGCTTGTAGAGAGACATAACGTTTACCTAAAGCTGCTTTATTCAGTGATTTGACTCTTTTAATTGCCAGGTCCGTGTGTCTTTAAAGAAGAAGAGACCTATCTAAATAAATTGGCCTCTGGTGAAAGGATAACTGAGATGAAAAACAAGGCACCTTGTCAAAGATGAATGCTGAAGTAATTATTTAAAGACGCTGAGCTCACATAAACAAGTTGGCTTGCAGCCCCTCCTGATGTCCTGTGTCCATTGTAAAGCTTCAGAGAGACACTGATTTTCAATGAGAAACTCCTATTTAGAATGTTTAATTAGAAATTATGGTCAATGAAAATATTCTAAGGCGTGTTTTCTTAGGCCACTGTCTTTAACAGGAAGCCGCTTTATCTCACAACTGTACATCGATGTACAGTGATATGAAAAAATATATCAGTGATTTTTTCCCCGTACTGCCCAGTCCTGTTCAAGACCTAAATCTTTTATTTAAAAAAACTACCCAAAAGTTTAGAGAATTATTTTTTGTCTGCGATGTGAAAAACTTGACTTTTTTCCGAGCGAATATATTCTGATTAGATTTGGCTATACAATTAAAACGGTGATTATGTATAACAAACTAAATTATATTTTACGAGTCGTGCTTCAAATCTGGCTATTTAGTTCATACTTAGGCCACATATCACAGAATGTATTGCATACTTTTTGGTGCTTTATAGGTTTATTACAAAATAATAGCATAGAGCATACACGACACACTACACTATACACACAGAGAGGGGGAATAGCCTCAAACATTGAAATACAAATTGACCTTTGAAAATCAGTATACGTCACTGCCCGTTATGCGTCCATTACCATTCACAGCGCACATAGGGTGCTCTACAGGTACAGTGATGTGATGTGTGTGTCAGTCTTACCACTGGTCCCGCTAGTTTGAAAAGTTGCACGAGCTCATTCCGGTACACCGGCGGGATGAAGCCCCTCGTGCGCTTCAGACAGGAGCCATAGTCTTCTGTGGAGCTCTGAACTGAAGAAGCCTCTTCACAAGCTTTTACATCTTCCTTGGTTTCCGCTGTTTGTTTCATTTGTGTTTTATCAGAGCCCTCCATGGTGGACAAATGTTCTCAGTAGACTGCCAGGACTGATCACTGTTACTCTCCCCCTGACAGTGTCAATGACACAAGAGTTTCGTACAGTGCGTTATAAAAACCATGGAGGGAGTCAGGGGGGGGGGGGGGTCATACACGTGCTGCAGGAGTGTTCTGCAAAGCCAACCACCTCCTGTAGTTTTTGGGGCGTCACTGGCTGCTATCGGGCAGACCTATAATGTTGCGTTCAAGTTCTCATTATGTGTTCAGTTTATTTCTACCTCAACGAAACTATGATATCCATTTGACCAAAAATACACACTGAGTAGGCGTACAAAAGTACAGTTTTGTAATATTTTTTTAATTTTTTTATTTGTAAATGTTATTTAATTCAAACAAACAATAAAGTTAAGAAAAACAAACAAACATAAAATCTCAAATATTGAATGAAAAGGAGCAGAAAGAAGACTAATCTTATAATATCTGCCCCTCTTTCACAAACATGAATTAAAACAAAACAAAACATTAATTGAGATTGTTGTTCTTAATTTGAAGGACCCATGAGAAGTTTCTAGATGGTTATGAATTAAATAAGAATAAATACTTATGGTTAATGTTTAATACTTTAGACCCAGAGTTAACATTCAGAATCAGAAATCCCTTTTTTTCCATAATACCTTGACTTTTAAACAACAGGTTTCTCAATTGTGATTGTCGTTACAACCTTAAGAGAGCTTTCTTTCTTTCTTTTTATTTCTTTTTTAATAAATAGAATTAATAAAACAAGAAATGTAAAAGTACAAAAGTGAATTTGATAGAGTTTAAAAAATACAGCAATATTTTCAAAACAAAAATGCAACGTTCAACAATAGAGATGTTTATAGAGATGATTGCATTTATCCAATATCAGCACTGCACACTAAGGCTGAGGTTGGGCGCAGGCTTTCAGCACCCTGAGGTTGACACCATCAGAGCCTGAAGCACATTGAGGACTTCAAGTTATTTACTTTATTTTTACTTGAATACCATAGACTGTAAAAATAATGGACGGGACAAGGTCCCCGTCTAGTGAAGCTTTTATTTTTAGAGCTCCCCCTACTGACTGGCTGCAGTATAGGTCATAAACCCCGCCTCCTCAATGATAACAGATGGGATGTGGGTCAAACTGTAAAGCTAAAATACTCGTCACATAATTTTTTTCCAAACCTAAACTCTGCTGTGATCATTAGTTATTATCACCTACATTGTGTTTCAAGTGCTCATTTTCTGTGAAGTTTGTTTTAAATAAGTTATTTGAGGTTGAAAAACGGGATTTTACGTCATATTTGACGATGATTGACAGGATCTAAGGGATCTTTTGCAGTTTTTTCGGTAAGTAAAAAAGTGATTTATGTGTCATTGTTTGGTTAAAGTCGTTATCTAGCTAGCTAACACATAAGCAGTAAGGTTAGCTGAAATGTTGTAAAGCTAGGTTACTTATCCGGCATGATTTATCTTTTTATTTTATTTTATTAAATGAGCAAACCTAATAACTGACATGCTATGTTTTTGATATAGTTATGTCGTTATTGTGATTGAAATTGTATTTAAAACCAAGAATCGTAATATAAAATCCGCTCACAGATGCGGTTCATTGACTGTACAGTTATTTTACAGCAAAAATAAAAACATCTGGTAAAGTCTCAAAAAAGTATCGAGGGCAAAAAAAACTCACGTAATTGTAATCTGGCCTGCATCATTACTAATGTGTACATGTTTACAGTCTGAGTGATAAGTGGCTATACCGAGAGTAACAGGTTTTACTTTCACCGTGCAGGCTGAAATTCATAGGACTATATACAAGGTAGAATATTTCTCTATGTATCCAGATAAAACTAAAGGTAAGCTCTGATTTAATATAACTGTTACTGATTTAAGAGACTAACCGAAACGTGAACGTAAACATCAACAAGCGGCAGTGTAATGTAATATTAACGAGCATCATGCTGCTTAAACGTGATAAATATTCTGCATTGTCTTCCACACACTACCAATTCAACAGTCACAAGTTGATCATATTGTAAATTTAATGACACTCATTGAGAAATTGTTCTAAAAATTGACAAAACCTGACAAACATTGAGGTGATTGTGACTGTGTCTGTATTTAACACCTTTGAAAGGAAGGTGTTAATGCAGGAGACCAGTGTTACACACAACATGCTGCTGTTATTGTAGTTAGGAGGAGACATGGGCACAATAAA